CAGGAAGAAGAGGAGGACACAGATATTTCTGTGCACTAGCAATTTCTGCCACAGTTATCTAAGGCACTTACCACAGTGCCTGGCACATCGTAAATAGGCAGCTCCTTTTTTATTTTTTTCATAGAGACAGAGTCTCACTGTGTTGCCCAGCATGGTCTCAAACTCGGGCTCAAGTGATCCTCCATCCTCAGCCTTCCCAAAGTGCTGGGATTACATGCATGAACCACTGCACCTGGCTGGGCGGATACTTTATGATTTTTTTTTATTATTTTATTTTTTTTTGAGACGGAGTTTCATTCTTGTTACCCAGGCTGGAGTGCAATGGTGCAATCTCAGCTCACCGCAACCTCTGCCTCCTGGGTTCAGGCAATTCTCCTGCCTCAGCCTCCTGAGTAGCTGGGATTACAGGCATGCGCTACCATGCCCAGCTAATTTTTTGTGTTTTTAGTAGAGACGGGGTTTCACCATGTTGACCAGGATGGTCTCGACCTCTTGACCTCGTGATCCACCTGCCTCGGCCTCCCAAAGTGCTGGGATTACAGGTGTGAGCCACCGCGTCCGGCCCGGCAGATACTTAAAAAAAAAAAATTCCAGAAGCACCAGGCGGCGGCCACAATGATGCTCACTATTTGGCAATTGCTCAGTGACTGTGCAAATTATCCTGAACCCATAAAAGCACTCACTTTGTGTTGAAGAGCCATTTTTAAACAAAATGGCAAGAAATTACATTATGAATGGCAACCAAGCAAGATCTACACCAAGTTGAAGCCGAGAATGAAAAACATAGTGTGAGACCCTTTCATTATGTCTTCAGTTACCCTCCAACCCTACATATATGGGGGGAAGTTTCTAAAACTGGGCTACTCTACCAAAAATAAAATAATAATTTTGGTAAAATAGACCCCCAAGATTTCTTAAGGTACTTAGGGGAAGGAAGGATTGTTTGGGGCTTTAGCATGAGATTTCATCTTTTTTTTATAGCTTTCTATTAAGTAGTTATAAATTTTATTCACAAAACTACCAATTTCTGAGCCCCTGCTTGGGCAGTCATTGTGCTAAATATCTTACCTATATTTGTGCCCAGTTAATACCCGAACCCTTCATAGACAGCTGTTATTCCCTAATTTAAAAAATTAGGAAGCTAAAGACATTTACCGACTCGTCAGTTCAAGATTACAGGATTAGAAAATGGCAGGACAGTGATCTTTCTAGTTCCAAGTTGCACAGCTGTGACGTCAAGAACAAAAGCAGCAACTCAAACACCAGTTTCACTGGTTGCTATGCGAAATAAGTGGGCTGATCCAAACACATGGTATTCCAGGACCCAGCATGGAATAGTAGGTGCTCAATAAAGGTTACTCCGTCGGCCTTCCCCTTGCTTCCTCCCTGTTGGCATTCAACAGAAATATACCATGGCAGCTGTTCATGCAGGTCTTTCACCTTAATCTGAGCTGTTTATTCAGAGTGCACACACAGGCATGCTCAAACCTTTCCTTCTTTTCCTTTCCCATCCTGTTTTATTTCCCTCAATCACTTTCTTTCCACTCATATGATTGTTTATAGCAAGCACTAGATTGATCTTTTTTCTTGTCTTCATAAGAAAGGTAAACATATTTATACTGCTCTGCACTGCACTGGAGTGTGAGTTCCCTTGGCAGGAGCACAGATAATTTTACAAGGGGTAGCTAGTGTTACATTTGTAGATTCTACCATGAATATTCACCGTTCTGCAAACCATTCTGCATTCATTTCAATGGCTTCCCTAATTCCTTCCAAGTTGAGAAAATCTGATGGGGAGGGCTTTGCTATTTACTACTCAGTATATGGATAACACCTTTGGCATACACCTCTTAGACTTATGATGTAGTATTTGAATTTGTTAAGGAAAACTGTATGACTGCTGATCTTTGCAATATGGTTCCTGTTTTCACAGAGATTGGCAGTGATCTATAACAAAGGCCTTGATAGGGAGGTGTTACGAGGGGTGTATTATGTCCTGTACAGTTGCCCAGTGAATGTTCACTCACACCTAGTGCTTATAAGATAAACCATTGAAATTTTCCTTCACAATGAAAGCCAAAACCAGCGGAGGAAATAAAAAGCCCAGTAGAAATCCGGAAGTTACAAAATAATTGTTTATCTCCTTGTACTAATTTTAATTGTGTAATTAGATTGTAGATGTGTTGCTTTTCAAGTTTAATGTACCTTCAAAAAGAATGCAGCTTTTTTTTTTTACTGTCAGCTTCACCAAATTGCAAGATATATTTCAAAATCTCATCTCTTTTGCTTCCAGATACTCAGATTCTTTTATTTTGTTTGGTAACTGTCAATGTTCTGTGTGGCATCACCTCAAAACCAGATTTTAAAAGCTTCATATTTATTAGTGTACAGTCCCTATTTGCATTTTAAGTCTGTCAGCTTCGATAATTTCTGAAATTCTGCTGACTTTGAGAAGCTTTCTTTTCCATGTTCCCCCCAAATCTAAATCACTCTCATCTCTCATTTTCACATTTATGTAAATATTTTAGATTATTTCCCAATTGCCAGATACCTTTAAAATGTCTCATTTCTGGCTGGCAGCAGTGGCTTACAGCTGTAATCCCAGCACTTTGGGAGGCCAAGCTGGAAGGATCACTTACGCCCAGGAGTGCATGACCAGCTTGGGCAACATAGTGAGACCCCCATCTCTATGAAAAATTTAAAAAAAAATTAGCCAGGCATGGCGGTGCACATTGGTAGTCCCAGCTTCTCAGGAGGCTGGGACAGGAGTATTGCTTTAGTCTAAGATGTCAGATGCAGTGAGCTACCATCACACCACTGCACTCCAGCTTGGGCAACAGAGTGAGACCCTGTCTAAATAAATAAATAAATAAGTCTTCCTTTTTCTAAATTGGGTTTCTATATTTTCCTTCTCTCAACAACTTCCCTGCATTATTTCGTAATTCATTAGTAGTTATACACTTGGGTATCTAGTTTACTTGGCTGTGGTACAGATTGAAGCCTCAGCTATCTCATAGCCATATGTTCTTATTGCATATGTCGTATGATTTCTAAGAATGGGAAATTCAGAGCCTCTTTGAGCCTGAGTTTAAGATGGATAACTCAGAATATGCAATATGTGTAAGCACAATACTGCCTTGTGTCTATTTACCAAAAGCGTTTTGAGGAATGCAGCTTCAGTTTTGATTGCCAGTGTATTCCTGGCAGACTCATAAAATGGGAGCAAAATGGCCCCCTTCACCCCTCTGGTGAAGGAGTTTGATAAATGAGGGATTTGAGCAATGTTAAATCCTTCTAGAGGCAATGCGAAGACGATATCCAGCAGCATGAGTATCAGAAAAGGTTAATCTTAGCTGCGCTTCTCAAGCCAGAGACTTGAAGACCACTGTTTTCTGAATCAATAAGGATTTAAGGAAATAAACTGGTCGCATTTTTAAAAAGAGATCTGTTTTCTGATGTGTAGTCCCCAGAATGGGAGCGGGAGTTGGGGTTGTTTTCTTAATTTGTCTGCTCTGTGAAGGCAGAGACTAGATTTTATGTGTTTGGTTAGTGGCCACAGAAAAATATGTAGATGCCTAATAAACTCTGTGATGACAGTGGTGCAGGGTTGAGGGAACCTTCTCAATTTGAGCTTCCATTTCTGAAGAATGAAACCCTTGTCTAAAAGGTGTCTGTATCTTATCTCCGCTAGGGCCCCATCCAGGCTTGAGCCAATGGAGTAATTCTCCATCAAATCTTCTGTGTTCAAATTCCTAGGAGAATTTTTTGATGATTCAGTCTATTGGTATGTTTCACTACCCTTCATATCTGAAGTGATATCAGAGACACATTTAATGAGTTGCAGCTCTCAAATAAGTTGCTACAATTGGACCTAAAATGCTTTTCTCAGGCAAGTCCAGATATCCACTTTCCCTTATCTGCTTACTTTCAGGGGCCTTCCAGAGAACAAATGGCTGGTCCTTTTCCAAAGGGACAGATTTTCCTATCTGATGCTTTTGTTCTCCAGCAAGAAAAGAAAATGAAAACTGTTGTCTTCCCCCAGGATATTGAATCAGAGTAAACCGAAGCTTTGTGTATTTCTTTTGTAGTGGTTTCCTTCATATAAATATGAATAGAGTGATTACTGAATATCAGAGGTTTGGGCTAGAGGTAAGTCATCTCTTTGATATGCAGAGCAAAATGAAATGGTAAAACATCAAATGTTAGGATGCTTGAGAGAGTTTCCTACAAGACCTGTTAGGTCTTAATTTGCTTAGGGTAATGCCTTGGGCCTTCTGTGCTGTTAATAGCCTTTAGGGGAAACTATGTTGGAGGCTGTATCAATCATCGGATGTTTTCCTTCTTTCATACAAAATTCCCTGTACCCTTATTTTTCTACTAGAATATTCTAGGTTAGCTGGGCAGGCTTAGTACTGATGCCTTAAAAGGTATGTCACCTGCCCATCTTAGTAGGCACTTTCCAAATAATAGTAATAATACTTTGTGTTCTGAAACCTAATTTTCTTTCTTTCTTTCTTTTCCCTCAACTTTTATTTTAGGTTTAGGGGGTTACATGTGCAGGTTGTTTTCCCTGAAGTGGGTAAATTACGTGTCACCGGGATTTGGTGTAGAAATGACTTTTGTCAACCAGGTAGTAAGCATCATTCCCAATTGGTACTTCCTCTATACTCACCCTCCTCCTACCCTCCATCTTCAAGTAAGCTAATTTTCTATTTCTTTTTTTTTTTTATATTACATTTTGACTTTTCACCTGGACACAGCCACATTGAGTTTAAGGTATTCTCTGAAATAAATCTGTTCTGGGTATTTTATGAGTAAGTTTTAGAATTTCAGGCCAGGTGCAGTGCCTCACGCCTGTAATCTCAGCACTTTGGAAGGCTGAGACAGAAGGATTGCTTGACCCCAGGAGTTCAAAACAGTGTTTTTATAAAAAAAATTTAAAAAGCCAGGTGCAGTGGTGTGTGCCTGGAGTCCCAATTATCCAGGAGGCTGAGATGGGAGGATCACTTGAGCCCAGAGGTGGAGGCTGTAGTGAGCCATGATCATGCCACTGCACTTCAGCCTGGGTGAAAGAGCAAGACCCCTGTCTCAAAAAAAAGTAAAAAGTTACAGAATTTCCACCTTGAAACAGAAGCCAAATTGGGAATCAAGAGGTGAACCACTTAAAGTCACCTGACAAATCAAAAACCAACTTGAAAATTAAGTCATTTCTCTTTCTTACTTGCTGCAATGAAATCTAAAATATATGTTGCCCTGGTTGAGACTGTTTGTCTTGGATCAACATCATTCTAAAAAGGGTAAATTTGACAGTGAGGCTTATTGTACATTTCTTCCTTTCACTTTTTCAAGTTTTTACAACTAAAAGAAATGAATAGTGTGGCAGCTGGAATAGAAATCTCTTACTGATCGGGCCATAAAATGGGAGCTTTCAAAAACAGCCTGTTCTCTACAAAGTAAAATAATGTAAATGTTGTCTAAACTGTTTAATGCTATACTTGAGAACTATAGTTTTAAAGCTTCTTTTGCTATGGCTTTCTTATAATTTATAAATATTATGAATTTTCAAATGGGTTAGCACAAGATAGGTAAATCTCATGCCCTCTTCTGTTCCCATAGCCGCTTTTATACACATCTTGTTATAATTACTGTCTTTTTTACCCAGTAGCCTATGGGTTCTTCGAGGGCAGTATTCAGGTCTTGTCTTCCTGCCTCACAGCAGAGTGCCTTGTGTGTGATAAAGCCCCAACACACTGAATTAATAAAAACCATAGATCATCCTGCCCAGCCTGTTTTAGGAAGTATTTGTGTATATACTTCAGTAGCTTGGTTGGTCAGCTCTGTGCCCAGTATCTCTGCTCAGAAGGCAAGAACAGGGGAGGGTCTGAAATTCCTTGGGCTGTTCTCATTAACAGCTCATTCAGTTCCATTCAGTGAACCCTCTGAGCATCTGACCTACTTCAGGCCTTGCTCCCCATGCAGGATTCGACAAGATGAATGAGAGGGCCTGCTTTGGGCAAAGCTCTCTGGGCCTTGAGATGTCTCTTCATCCCAAAGAATCTACACTGTAGCAGGGGAGATGGGAAATGAAAGGACAAATATTTATGCATCAGTTGGGTTGAGGGAGCAATCAATACTTCAGGGAAGGGAGAGCAAGGAAAACAAAGAGAGTTGACAGGGGAGGGGAGGGAGGTTCCAGAATGGATATGGTAGATAAGTAGCAGTCTTGATGTGTGAAAATTAATACATGGTACATTTGGGGAGACAGCAAGCACATTAAGGCATAGATTCAAGGAGGGTTGGGGCTTAAGTTGTTTAAGTGAGATGAATTTTTTTTTTCTTAACGCTTTCCACACGATTTAGTCCTTGGAGGACTCACAAAACAGAGCAAGGTTGTCATCTCTTAATGCTCGCAGATCCTATCCCCTTAACTTTCTAGCCAAACTGAATTTAGTCCGTCCTTAAACTCATCTGCCCTTCCCAAATATGAGTTATTTGCTCAAGACATTTCTTTCTCCTAGAAGGCCCCCTGCCCTGTTTGATGTGAGTGGTAGTTTAGTTAACTGGACTGAAGCCACCAATCTCTACCACCAAGCTTTCCTCAGAGAAGGAGATCAGAAACGTTAGGAGATTTAAATGTAATGAACTAATACAGAACTATAAAGTGTGTGTGTGTGTGTGTATGTGTGTGTGTGTGTGTGTGTGTGCCCGTGCCCATGCTAATTTCAGTTCCCTTTCCTTGTCCTATCCACTCTCTGGTATATGTAAATAATGAACTGATTAAAACACTCACAGAAGGGAAGAGAAGATAAGGAGGAAGAAGAGAAGTTGATGTTCATTCTAAACCCTCAGGTGTGTGATTTCAGGAGGAAAGAGGCTGTTTGTAAATAAAGAAATATACACACACATATAATAATTGTCCTTCACATATATATAATAATTGTAATTTAAGATAATGTGAATACTTGCAGTGATACAGCTTAAATACCACTAAAGTGATAAAACCAAGGGACTACAGGATCTCGGAGAAGGAAAATCTCACCTTCAGCTATTAGAGATTCAGTGATTAGAAATTGAGAAGTAGCATTTGAATTGGGTCTTAAGCACAGATAGAATTTTAGCTGCGGTCATAGTTGTAGTGGAAGAGTGCCAGGTACTATTCTGAGCACTTTAATATTCTAATTCAGTTGAGCCTCACAATGAACCCTGTGATACAGGTATTATTGTTCTTGTCATTATTATTATACCCATTTCCCAAATTAGGAAACTATGGCCTAGAGCAGTTTAGGGACTTACCCAAAGTCAAACAGTTAGTAAATAATAAAGAAGGTATTTGAATATAGGTAGTGTTGGCTTCAGTCCAGTTAACTAAACTACCACTTACACGGAACAGAGTAGAGGGCCTTCCAGGAGAAAGAAATGTCTTGAGCGAAGAGCTCATATTTGGGAAGGGCAAGATGAGTTTAAGGAGTAACTAAAGCCAGTTTGGCTAGAGAGTTAGGGAATAGGATCTGTGAGCATTGAGAGATGACAACCCTGCCCTGTTTTATTTTGTTTTGTTTTGTTAAGACAGGTTATCACTCTGTTTCCCTTGGGGAAGTGCAGTGGTGCTATTATGGCTCATTCCAGCCGTGTCCTCTTGGGCTCAAGCGATCCTCCCAGTTCAGCCTCCCAAGTAGCTGAGACTCCAGATGCATGCCACCATTCCTGGCTAATTTTTAAAATTTTTTTTGTAGAGATGGGGTCTTACTGTGTTGCCCTGTCTGTTCTCAAACTCTGGTCTCAAGTGAACTTTTTGCCTCGCCTCCAAAAGTGCTGGAATTATAGGTATCAGCAGCATGCCTGGCCTTACCACCCTGTTTTGAACTCTAGACTTCCCATGCATCTCCCTGCTTCATCTTTCTAGTACTTGATGCTATTATCTAACACACTACTTACTATTTTACTGGTTTATCACATTTAGTCTCTCTTCACTAGATTGTAAGTACCTAGAAGTTTGGGATTATTCGGCTTTGTTCACTATGGTATCTTTGGTGACTAGAAGAATATCTGGCACTTTCCTATTGAGTATCTGTTGAATGAATGAATAGATAAGTTGAATCCAGATGACTGAAGGTTCCGCAATACTCTACCAGTTTTTTACCTCTTGGGGACCCCACATAATATGTGGAAAGCTACCAATCAACCTTGATCATATCAATGTGTCATATGTCAGTACATTCATTGCTGCCCTTTGGAGGAGGGGGTGCTGCAAGAATATAGTGGAGAAATAGAAAGACATTGAAAGGATTCTATGGTTTGAAATGCTTTGTTCTACTTGCGTTACTCACTAGGAGTGGCTGCTGAGGTGGACTGATTTTTAAGGGACTTCAGGAGGCATTGCAACAAATCTCATCCCAACCCGATTATAAGTACCTAAAGTTACATACTGTCGGATTTCACCTCCTGTTATTAATCATTGATTTTTCATTGAGATCCACTTTTTTGTTCTTAGTGCTAGTTCAGCATTCACTATACTAGCTAAGAAGCAGCATGTTTCTGCTGTACCCAGGCTCTTGGGCCAGACTATTGGGCCACCATGGTGTCCTGCCTCCATAGCTTGGACATATTTTACCTAAGCTTCAACAATGGAAGCTTAGTAATAGTAGTACTGGCTTTGAAAAATAGAATAATAGTAATACTTTCCTCAGTGGACTGATGTGAGGATTAATCAGTTAATATATATTCTTTTTAATTTTAAAAGAGTATATGGTGCTTACTTTGGCAACACATATTACTAAAATTGGAGTAATACGGAGATTAGCATGGCCCCTGTGCAAGGATGACATGCAAATTTGTAAAGCATTCCGTTTTTTTAAAAAAGCGTCTGACACATAGTAAGGTATATAGAGACTTTGGATTGTTGGAAAGAATTCTTGGAAAGGAAGGTGAAAAAGAAATAAAGGCAGATTTTATTTATCTAACAGTTTGGCCAGAATCCTATGGCTAAAGATACCTTAACTTTGCTGTTTTTAGATTCCACCATCACTACCCTGAAAGATTATTTTGGAGAGTGTTGTTGGGTTTGATCATGTGGCATTAAAAATGCCAGATGACCATATGTTCTCACTCATGTGGGAGCCAAGCTATGAGAACGCAAAGGCATAAGATGATACAGTGGACTTTGGGGATTTGGGGAAAAGGGTGGTGGGTGGCGAGGGATAAAAGACTACACATCGGGTACAGTGTATACTGCTCAGGTGATGGGTGCACCAAAATCTCAGAAATCACCCCTAGAGAACTTCTTCATGTAACCTAACACCACCTGTCCCCCAAAAACCTATTTTAAAAAAGTTAAAGGTACTTTGGAGAAACAAACAAAAAAATGCCAGATGACATCTACCATCTGATGTATAAGATAGTAAGAACTGGACAGTACAGTTAAAATCCTATCACCTGGAAATAGCATAGTGGTGGGGAGAAGGAATGAGGGAGAGAGAGAAGGGAAGAAAGAGAAAAGGAAAGAAAGGACAAAGGAAGGAAAGATTCTGAAGAATGATGTTGTAAGCATCACTTATTTTATATAGTGAAACAATTGAACAATCCCTTCGATTTTGCTATCAGGGACTTGACCTACTGAAGAATTTCTCCTTACTGCGATATTCTTAAAATTTTTTAAATGAGTGAACTTCAGTTGAAGCTTCTCATACCAAGACAATTCTGATAAAATTGGAGTCCACGCTTCATGGCAAATTAAAAAGCCCTCAAAATAGTAAGAATAATTCAAGATTGATGGCTTTCAGTGAAGCTTGGTGTATTCTGTTAAGTAATTATGCTAAGGAAAGAGATAATTGAATGTTATTGTTCAACTCCAGATGGAGATATTACTTTATTTTTATTTTGTCTATATAGTCCACAGCTTCTGTCTACAAAGTATTTAAAGTGATTCACATGAAAATAGTAATAATAAAATATTGAAATACAAGAAGCTCAGAACAAAGAGAAGGCAGCTATAATAACGTTCAACCCTACTCCAATTGGTCAAATCACTTTTCCACTGGGGTTTTATATTTGTTACTCTGGGTTTTTGAAAAACAAAAGGGCAGGGGAATCATGATCTATAACATAGTATTTCTCATTATGGAAAAGAAGGAGAATGTGTCTTCCACAGGGAAAATGGAAGCTGTTTGAGCATAATTCTAAAAAGACATTTTCTATAGAAGACATTGAGTGATCTAATGAGTAATTCACAACATAGTTATAGTAAGTGTAGTTTTGAGTTTCTCGTGGCCTTTTCTTACAGTGGCATTAAGTAAGTTTGAGACCCTAGTATCAAAATGCCGGACAGTGATTTGGTAGCCTTCAGCAGGATATACTTGAACTTCATTCAAGGATAGCATTAGACATCCTATAGAGGAAGATGGATGGTCTGGCCCTTTCAATGATCTTCTCTAGAGATTGCTTCTCCCAGGAGGTCTGATAAAGAGCAGGGAGTCGGAGGTTTTATTTCCCGTCAGGGCCTGAGGAGCTGATACCACTGATTATGGGAAAATCCACATATAAACATTGCAGCCCTGTGGGCAGTTGTTGGATTTTCAGTTGTGAAAGTGAAGAATCCTGAGGGTCTTCTAGCCTGCCTGAAAAGTTGCCCACCTTCCAGAAACAGAAAACTCTTATAAATTATTATTGACCTAAAATTTAAATCCCCAAAGTGCTTAGATAAGATCAAAATCTATATTTCTTAACTATGGTGGTTAAAAAGCAACTCTATCTCTCTGTGTCACATGAGTAGATAATATGAGGAGAATGTTTAATTTATTTATTATTATTATTATTTTTGAGACGGAGTTTTGCTCTTGTTGCCCAGGCTGGAGTGTAACGGTGCAATCTCAGCTCACCACAGCCTCTGCCTCCCGGGTTCAAGCAGCTCTCCTACATCAGCCTCCCAGGTAGCTGGAATTACAGGTGCCCGCCACTGCGCCCGCCACCATGCCCAGCTAATTTTTTGTATTTTTAGTAGAGACAGCGTTTCTCCATGTTGGTCACGTTGGTCTCGAACCCCCAACCTCAGTTATCCGCCCACCTCGGCCTCCCAAAGTGCTAGGATTACAGGCGTGAACCACCACGCCTGGCCACGAGGAGACTGTTTATATTGTCAGCTATTGTGTGCTTCACATTCATATAACTCCTCTTTATTGAGCTTCTACTGTGAGCCAGGTTAACTTTCTGGATGTGTCTCTGCATATAGTGTATTTTTATTTCCTTAAGTTCTCTTTCTGGTCTTTGATGTGTTCATGTGTATGCTTTTATTTTATTAGATTTTTTTAATTATAAAAACTATAGACACTTATTGTTTTAAGTTCAATTATTCAGAGATATGTAAAGATATATAAAAGTTAATAACCTTTTCCCTCTTTAATTTCCAAGGTTATTATCCAGTGTTATCAGTTTGATGTGGCTTCTTCCATACCTTTTTCTGTGCTCAGATAACTTTCTTAATTGTTCACTTCAATGTATCATATGAGTGATTTTTTCAGTGGAGCCATACTTGTTTTTGCTGGCAAGCCGGAGAAATTTTCCCTTAATTATAATTGATTTTCTATAGTGTACTTGTTTGTTTGTTTGCTCTGTCTTGAGGGAAGGGAGGAGAAACATTGTTATTACTCTCCAGAATAATTTAGAAGCTGAAGACTCCACCTGTGAATGGAACTTTTCCTGTTCTGAACAGGACCAAACTTGACGGGATATGATAAGTATGTATTTTCGAATGATGTCATCTTCCATCTGATGTGAACTTTTGTGTATATAATACAAGTTTAGATATGCTCATTAATTTTGAGACTGGCTCCAGTGTCACAATTTCAAATCTGAATACACCCTACATACCTTTCTCAAAAGCCAGTGCTCGAATATTCTTTCATTCAACTTTTATCCAACAGGGAAGTCATCTGGTTTATAGTATTACTTCTTGTGCATTTAGTAAGTGTACAGAATCCCAGACATAGCATGACCCTATAGTTGCAAAAAAGGAAACAATTTGAAAATTTGAATATAAGTGGATCCCCCCCTTACTGACGGAAGATACATTCCAAGGCCTCTGTGGATGCCTGAAACTGTAGATAGTACCAAACCCTTTGCAGTTGTCCCTCAGTATCCATGGGGCATTTGTTCCAAGACTTTTCTCAGATAACAAAATCTGAGGATACTCAAGTCAGTGAGAGAAAATGGTGTAGTATTTGCATATTACCTATGTACATCCTCCTATACGCTTTAAATTTTAATGTCTTGATTTCTTATAATACCTAATATAATATAAATGCTATATAACTAGTTATGCTCTGTTGTTTAGGGAATAAACACAAAGAAAAAGTTTACCCGTTCAGCAATTATTTTTTTTCGAGTATTTTCAATCCACAGTGGGTTGATCCACGGATGTGGAACCCACGGTTACAGAAGGCCTACTACAGATACTATTTTTTTTTCTTATACATACCTGCCTGTGATAAAGTTTAATTTATAAATTAGGCACAGTAAGAGATTAACAATAATAATTAATAATTAAATAATTGTAACTATATACTGTAATAAAAATGAATATGGTCTTTCTCTTTTTCAAAATATCTTTTTGGACTGTACCAAGGAAAATGAAACCATGGAAAGTGAAACTGTCTATAAGGGGGACTGTTGTCTATAGTTATAACATCATGTTCATGCCTGTGATGATGCTTAAGGATGAGAAGTCTGAAACAGCATAGATAACTGTAAAAAAATAGGACTGCTTTATGTGAAAATCATAAATAGCAGTGGTATCCAAAACATTTCTAGATGCCCAAAACAATACCTGAAATGCTGTGTGCAGAGGGTCTCTTTCATATTTGAGTTATTGGGCACTTGCTCACAGAGAGTAAGAATATATTAAGGAACTCTAAGCCAACCTTTCAGCCTTCTCCATGCCCGTTCCCTCTAGGCTGCCCCCACCCATGAAAACCGAATACACACGTGCACACACACACACTTGCCAAAATCTTGACTCTTAGACCTAAAGACCAGTAATTATAGGTATGTGCCATGTATCAGTTGGACATCACCACAAGGTGTGTCTAAGAAAGCCAACTTTAGTATTCCCATTTTACAGATGGGAAAATAGGTGGAATGTGGGAGGAACAGTGACATGGAGGAAATAGTTCCAAGGTATGCTGGCCATATAGTAGTTAAATGAAAAGTAAGTCGTTTCACTGCTAGGAAGCTGTACTTCTTGCTAGCCTCAATGAAACCATATAAGGATGACCATCCTTGCGTGGAAACTTAAAGTAACCTGAAGGAAGAGGCCGTGGCTTCATCGCTTCCAGTTGGTTAATCCCCTCTCTGTCAATCACCTGCGTACAAGCTGAATAGACTATAAATTCACATTTCTGGAGCCACATGGTCAAAATAGCACTTTATATTCAGTGTGAAATTCTTAAAATGAAACCCAGCTGGCAGATGGGAAGGACTGGGGTGGGGAGGAATATTGAGTGTGCAAGGGTTTCATGATTTTCCAGAGAGCTTTTTATGCTTTGTGCCGATATAGGAATATTTTTAAACATCTATGATGCAGCACAAATGAATTTCTTAAATCTAAACGATGAGTCTAATTTATAATATTTCATAAAAAGCATTAAGATAGTTATGCAAGCCATTGCCTATAAGGATAGAGCGATTTGCTTATTTAGGGAACTGTTTTCAATTCCTACGTGAGTGTTAGTTAATAAATCGTGTCTTTTAGTGCTTTGAATAAGTCCATGGCTTAGTAACATACTTTGTGAGACAGTGAGAGGAACAAGAAAGAGAATAGTTCAGTTCATTTCCACCTCTACCTCATATTCAGAACTTCTCCCCTTTATGTTGTACATCTTAATCGCTTCCATTTCTTTCTCTTTCACCAGGCTTTGTAGGAGGTAAACCATATCTTGGTGATTTGCAGGGCCCATGGTCATATTGGAACCTCTCAAACCCCCATTCCATAGTTCAATGCTTTTTGTTACTGATCCAAGCCTTGCAACCTCCCAGACACATTTACAGGTTTATCAGATCAGTTTGTTAATAGGTGGCCCCTTCTCATAGTGCCAAAAAGCAGTTCAGCCTGTAAGCAGGTTACTACATATTTGGTGTCTGTGACTTCCTATAAGAAGTCAGAATTCAAGTACTTCAGCAGCTGCAAGAGATTTCAGCATTTCCGTATGTTTTATGAAAACTACAATTAACTTGCTAAGAAGTATGCAGGCTGTATGTGTTGTATGAATAGATGAGAAGCTACAGTCAAATAGGCAACAGTTTGTTTCTGAAATCCTGATTTCTCAGGAGCCACATTTTT